GTGGAGGTGCCCCTGGATCGTCCCGTGTATTCAAAGGCACACAAACTGGCTGCCAGAGCCTGTCTGTGATACTGTGAGATGGTCAATCAGGAAAGTCTCTTTGACATACGTGGGAGAGTTAGAAAACAGACATTCTTTCGTAACAGTGCTGGACGTGTGAGGGTAATCTCCTGTCACACATTACATGCACAAAAGATCTTCAGCTTATATACATAAGTTGTGTGACATATGCAGATGTTTCTCAGAGCTATGTTACATATGCAGAAGTTTCCCTGAAGCGTGTTATGTGTTCACTGATTGCAAGCAGGACCTCTTGTTTCCTCAGTACGAAGACTCAGCACACTCCCTTATCTCTGGTTCAGAGACGCGGCTCTTTCTGTTATCTAAAAGTATTGCAGGGCAGGAGTATCCATCAACAAACACTAGTGACATCAATGGAATGGTTACAACTCGCATCATCTGTGTCCCCTAGCATGAGAAACGCTCAGCCCCAACAATTTCAGATTGGGACCATGCAGATTGGTCAGAGTGAAGAGTCACCCCTTCTGGGATTCTGAATGTGTGCATGCTAGAGCCTTGAGGACCTATTACCATAGAGATTAGGGGCATCCAGCACCCCCCAGGGACAGGGTACCGCAGGGCCAGAGCTCCACAGGGCCAGGGTTACCTTAGTAAGGGCACCTGTCCCCTCAATGTCCCCACAATGTCCCCAGTATTCCCCGATATCCTCATGTCCGCCTAGAGGCATGTCCTCAGTGCCCATCGACTGCTGGGAGGTGGCAGTGACAGCATCGGTGACAGCAGGGACAGTGACAGGGACAGCATTGATGACAGCGGGGATGGCAGTGGGGGTACTGGTGTGCCACATAGGCCACTTGCTCTGTGCTGCCCTCCAACACTGTGGTGAGCTCATAGGGAATTGGAGAGACACGGAGACATGGAGACATGGGTGGGATGCGGAGACATGGAGAGGGCATGGGGACATGAAGGTGACATGGGGAGGAGAAGCAGAGGGGACACCAGGAGGTGAGGGGACACCTACATGGTGAGGGCAAAGAGACATGGGTGGCACATGAGGACACAGAGGGGGCACGGAGACATGGAGAGGACACGGGAGGAAACAGAGGGGATGCAGAGGGCACATGGTGACATGGGAACACGGAGGGCATGTCGTGACATGGGAGACAGGGAGGACACGGCACTGGACTGTCTCCACATGTGCTCGTGGAGATGACACTGGAGGTGACACAAAACTGCTTGTGGGGCACCATGCTGCAGCACCACCAGGTGGGCGTGGGAGGACACAGGGATGGTGTACAACAGGGGATTGAGGGAAGGGGAGGGATGAGGGGACAGTGGGGGTGGCAGCAGGAGAGTGATGTTGTGGTGATGCTGGAGGGTGGACGGTGGGGTAACACTAGGGGGATAATAGTGAGGCCTGACATTTGGATGATACTGTGGTGATGTCTCAGAGTGACACTGGGGGGTGATGTTGGAATATCACGGGGGGATTGACATCAGGGAATGAATGCTGGGCAGTGATATTGGGGTTGTGTTGGGGTGATGTTTTTGGGGTGCTGTGTTGTGGACCTAAAAGCCCCTGACCGAAGAATGATCCTGAAACGGAACGAGATTTTGACAGAGCTGTCCTTGTCGGTAGGTCTTGAGTGCATAGCTAGCTTGCCTTTGGTTCCTGTGATATCCTGTCTCTCAGATCCATACATACCCTGAAACAGCAGTGGAGTTGCGGGGTGATGTTGGAGTGTCACTGAGTTTTAACATCGAAGTGACGTATCAGCCCCACAGTGATGCTTTTGGGGGCTGATGTTGTTGGGGTAACACTAGGGGGTGACATCAGGGAATGATTCTGGAGAGCCCTTGTGGGATGGAACGGGGCTGATACTGGGGTGAAACTGGGGTAATATTATGGAGTGATGCCAGGGAGTGATGTCTTTGGGGTGGCGTTGGGTCATCACTAGGAGGGTGACATCAGGGAGTGATGCTGGGGGGCAATGTTGGAGTATCACTGGGGCGGGTGACATCAGGAAATGATAATGGGTGGTGGCGTTATTGGGGTGACATTGCTGGAGGTGACACTGGGGTGACGTTAGAATCACAGAATGGCCAGGGTTGGAAGGGACCCCAAGGATCATGAATCTCCAGCCCCCCTGCCTCATGCAGGGCCGCCAACCACCCCATTTAATGCTAGACCAGGCTGCCCAGGGCCCCATCCAATCTGGCCTTGAACATCTCCAGGGACGGGGTGTCCACAACCTCTCTGGGCAGCCTGTTCCAATACCTCACCACTCTCTCCGTAAAGAATTTCCCTTTGACGTCCAACCTAAATCTCCCCTCCCTTAACTCAAAACCATGTCCCCTTGTCCTGCAGTTATCAACCCTTCAAAGAGTTGATTCCCCTCCTCTCTGTAGGCTCCCTTCAGGTACTGAAAGGCTGCAATGAGGTCACCCTGGAGCCTTCTTTTTTCCAGGCTGAACAAGCCCAGCTCCCTCCTCAGCCTGTCTTCATAGGGGAGGTGCTCCAGTCCCCTGATCATCTTCGTTGATGTTAAGGTACCACTGGAGTGACACCAGACTGACTGTTGGAGTAATGGTGTGGGAGGAACACTGGAGTGACACTGAAGTGATACTGGGTTGATGTTGGGAAGTGACACTGGAGGCTGATGCTGGGGGATGACATTGGGGTATCTCTGGGAAATGACATCGAGGAGTGACATTGTTGGGGATGTGTCAGGAGACAAAGAACGGACTCGGGCACTTTATAAAAATTATAACAGAGACCATTTATTGGAAAAAATACAACTCTTAAATAATACTTAGCATGCTTCTGATTGGATGCAGGCATGAATCACACATAACACCTCCGTAATCAATTGGTTATTATGTGGATGGCATGAAGCAATCACGCGCCTAAGTTTCTACTCTGATTCATTGGCAATAAGCAACTTCTTACCTCACCATAAAGTGTAACTTATTGCTCTTTTGCAGCTCCTTTTCTGCTTATGCATCTCCCTATTCTCGCTGACTCTGTCAAGGACTGTGACTGACCATTGTCAATATAACACACACCATGCTGTGGAGACTTGCTTCTGAGCAGGTAAGTCTGTGCTGGCAAGGGATCTGGAGCAAGAAAAGGCCAACCAAAAAGCTCTTTTTAAGACTTCTTAAAGGCTTTTTTAGGGCTTTTTTGAGGCTAGCATCAGCGCTGCGCTTGTGCTGGGAGTTGGCAGCTTGTGGGCAGGCTCCTGAGTCAGCAGGAGTGGAGGTGGCACATCAGCGGCACGGTTTAAACAACCGCCCACGCGTTCGCATCTTCGCACCTGATAATAAGCCTCAAATAATAGCTCCTGAGAGTCGCATCAGGTGAGAAACCATTGTTTCTGCTCATTGTGAAAGGGGAGGTTCAGCGAGCAAGCACAGCCCCACTTCCCATAGGGCGCTACATCTGTGTGTGGGAGGTGTGTCCAGTGGTGCTAATTGTAAGCTCTGGTCCCTCCTTGCTCTGGAGACCAACTTCCCTTGACAGCCTCTGAGACCTCAGGCTGAATCTAGTCTCCACTAGACAGCAGGGTCATTCAAAGAAGTCCGTGGCAACCCGCGGAAGACCGCGGAAACAACGTCTCTGCAGTTCCGGCGAACGGCCATGCAGAGGCACCAGAGACCGCGGAAACAACTTTTCCAACTGCATTGACGCGGACCCGCAACGCAGTCCCTGACCATCCTTTTCTTTTTTGATGACGGAAAAAAATACAAACTTTGGGGGGGGGGGGGGGGGGGGGGGGGGGGGGGAAATTGAAGGCGCAAAAACGAATAAACGAAAGACAAAGAAAACCAACGGAAGCTTCTCCAAACCCATCAAATTTGCACTAAGTGCTTATTGAATATCTGTAAAGTATCATCAAATTGATGCCACACTTTCTCACTTTTGTTAGCATCCATTAGATTGTTTTTAGATATTTAAACACCAAAATTTGACTAAGAAGCAAAATTTAATGATAATGAAATGAAAGCGCAATAGCTGAAAGTACAAAGATAGTTATTTCCACAGAGATTAATGAAAACAGTAGTTTTCCACCTAAATTTGCAGATGGAAAAATATTAATTCACCTGCATTGAAAGAATTGATCCCTCACAGCTGCCTCTCACAAGACAGCCCGAGAGTTGTGCAGATCCATCAGACTCAGCTACAGCTTTATGTCCCTCTTCCAGACCTTGCTGCAACTGCAGAGACTCTGCACGAGGGAATGGGTTGTGAAGACAACCACCCCCCCCCCCCAGCTAGCTGTAGTAGCAAAACTCTCTAAGTACAAGTGCACCCTTTGCTGCTGCCAGTCTGTAGATATTCTTATAGAATACAGGCTGCTAGCCTGTATTCCTGATATTCTTGTAGAATTTCTTCTTGTTCCCTTTATGTCTCTGGCTAGATTTAATTCTGTCTGTGTTTTAGCTACCTGATCCCTGTCTGCTTGGACAACTTCTTTGTAGTCCTCTCAGGTAATCCGTGTTCTTGCTTCCGCTCCCTTTGGATTTCCTTTTTGAGCTTAAGTAAGTCCAGGAGCTCTTTTGTTGATCCGTGGAGGCCTCCCAGCATTCTTCCCGGCCTTTCTTTCTCACGAGATGCACTGCTTTTGGGCTTGGAGGAGACAGCCCTTGAATACGACCAGCTTTCTTGGGCCGTAGAAAGCCCTCTCCACGGCTTTCTCCCATGGCACCCTGACAAACAGTTCCCTGAAGAATTCAAAGTCCAGTGGCTCTGAGTGGGTTGATAGGATGAGCATGCAACTGTATAAGCGCTGAGCCTTGTCTAGTAGTGATTCTCAGTATAAGCTACACAATGGCAGACTCAGGCAAGCTACTGCCTGTGAAGACGCCCATTGGTATAACGTGTTCTTTCTGACAATTTTGGGGCACTTGGAAGGGATGCAATCATGTAATGCCATGTGCTACAAGTCTCAAGGTCCTCTACATCAATCTTGGCTTGCTAGAACCAAGTGTCAGACTGTAAATTGGATGAAATTCACTGAAATGATTGTTTTTGCCGATGTACTCTGCCCTTTTCTTTATGTAGGAGGTAAACGGTGTCAAGGAATGAGTGTCTTAGTGCAAGACCAAGGGTTTGGGAGTGGAGATGCGACATGGGCCCTCCATTTCCACCAGAATTACTGAGTGGTGTGTCTGTAATGCTAAGAAAAAAACATATGGCCCAGTCTGACCTTGGAATCCACTATTCTGCTCCTGGTTTTCTCCACAGAAACACGTCCGCTTCTGCTATGGCAGTAATAATCCATAGAAGAACACCACATAGTACAAAACCCAAAGAAGAAAAGTTGGGAAGGGTGCAAGCTACAAATGAAAGAGAAAAAAATACAGATGCAACACTGAAAAGGGCATTCAGCTGTGGAAGTGTGGCAACGACAGATAACCAGTTCTAAATTCCCCCAAAAAAGCAGTGATGGCCAAAATTCAGCTGAAGAAATAAAGATTTGCTTACTCATCCCAGGGATTGGAGCTCACCAAATACACACATGCACGCACACATGCACGCGCACACGCGCGCACACGCACACACACGCACGCACACGCACACACGCGCACACACACACGCGCGCACACACACACACAAAAGATCTCCAGAGAGATAATCTTTTCTTGTGGCAGCTAGCCCTTAAATGAGGCTTAAGGAACCTGGTACCACCCATTCTGATTGCATGGGTGAGTTGTTTTCACCTGTGCTCCCAGGGCTGGCTATGTCCCTTCACCAGGTGCTCAATCATTGGTTCAGGCTGTGACTTAGCAATTCCCATATAGTATTTTACTCTTATTTGGTCTTTTGCATGGGATCCTTCCCCTGTCTGCTCCAATCCAAAACATGTGCAAGGAGAAATATCAGAGAGGGGGAAAATCTACTTTTCCCACTCCCGTTATGGGTCGCACTCCAGATTTCTGTTAAGTTTTGTGGCTTTTTAGGGGATCTTACGATTGTCTTGATCAAAAAACATGCGTTCAAGCAAAGGGATATAAGGAAGGAGCATGAGTATGCTGTGGATACCACAATATGGACTGTGGTGTGGAACCTCCTGCATCCATCCTTGCTAGTAGCAATTTTGGGGCTGATTTTGCATGCAATAATTCATAAGGGATGAGCGGAATACAGAACTGAGATGGTGGGGCTCCAACAAGCCCATCAAAGTGAGCATCTGGAAATGGCCAAAGGCTTTGCAGATGTGAATCAATGGGGAGCAGACAGCTTGCACTGAGATTCAGCCCCAAATTGCGCATGGTGAATGTTCTGCAAACATAACCCATGTAAAATTCAGAAAACGGTCAGATGATCTGTGCTGCAGCCCTGCTGAATTTTGGGTTTGATATTGATTTGCAGGCTGGGAATGGGGAAAAAAAAAGAAGGAAAAGGGGGAAATCTGGTATTTTCCATTTAATGCAAAATGTGGTAAAACAGACTTGGAAGCTGTACAGTGTGTTAGAGTGCCCTCAGGGAGTGTAAGCAGTGTTCCTTTACGATGGAAACAACACTTTTGTAAAAATTTCTTCTGACTGGGGGGAGGGGAATAAAGAGAAGAGGCCCTGTTGTGACCAAGCAGCAACCACGAGCAAACCTGTTTCCCTTTGAGGATTTCAATTCTCCCGGTGAATGTTTTGCTTGAACGGTTGTTTTGTGGCCACAAGCTTTAAAAACAAAGAAATCACCAAAAGACCAAATAAAATAAAATAAAATAAAATAAAATAAAAAAAAAGCTTGTTGGTGAAAATGGTGTAAAACATGAGAGCATCTGATTCTTCTTTGTTTAAGGTTTAAACAACAGCAACAACATAAAGAGCTGTGGAGCTGGGAAGCCTCAGTTGCCAGTGAAAATATGGATTGTGTTTGTGTGTCATTGATATTCAGTGAAGTGCTATTGTGTTTATTTTTCTAAAGATCTGTAGCCATCAGAGAAATGTGGTGTAATTGCCTCTTTGTTTATCGACAGGGGGCAGGGAAAATCCATCTATGCTGGGAGTTAACGCCTGTGCTGCCAAATCAGGGTTGGGATGAACTTCCTGTTATGCTGGAGGATTTTTGGGAATGGGGTTGAGTCCTAAAAAAAGATAGGGAAGTTGACCTCTACCCTGAAAATGATTTCACTTTTATAGAAAATCACCCCAAGAGCCTTTGCGATGCGATGGGATGTGGGAAGTATCAGCTGCAATTTTTTTTATTTTATTCTTTTTTTATTTTATTTTTTTTTTTTAGGGAGGTCTCATCACCAAGATTTCCAGCTGTTTGCTTAGCAAATGTTGGTATTGATGGGCATCCATTCCTGATCCGTCCTTCCCATTCCCAGCAATTTCCTAGCTAATTGCAACTGCTCTGCTGCTCATGATGTTGTGTTGAGTAGGAGTAAATCCTACAGTGTTGTGTGGGGAAATGCTCTCAGCACTCTGCAGCGCGGATTCTGCAAGCTGCATAGGTAGTGGTGAGGCACAGTCCTTGGCATGATGACGCAGAGGCTCTGGTCCAGCGCTGAGTCACTGGCGTTGAGGAGTAAAGCAAAGAAGCTGACCCCTAAGAAGGGTTTTAGGCATGGTAAAAGGAAGCTTCAGATGTTGATGGTGGAACAATTGTGTTTCCCCTCACCCAGTCCTTTGCTGGTGGCGTGCAGGAGCATGCTGCCTGTAGTGCTGATTAATATGTAATTCATTGAATGTGCTCATGCAAAGGGGAAAGGGAGTTGGGCTAGAGCCAGTTTGGCACCCCTGGGACACCTCACAGAGCCTGTCTCACTCCTGATACATGCCCCAAGCCCTTTATCAGTGGTGGCCACTCTGCCTATGCTGGGGCTTGTCTGTGCTGCACTGCCAGCTGATAATAGCAGTGGGAAAGGGATGGAGGAGGCAAAAATCCCAGCGAGTTGAGAGCTGACCTGAAAGAGCCAATGCTGGGGCCACAGAATTCCCAAGGGAGATTTTGCACAGCTCTTGGGAGCCTCAAAAACCCTTACATGTGAAAGGAGGGAAGGATGAGACCACAGCATCCTCGTAGCATTAACTAGGCTATCTATTCCAAGTGGTTTTGCAAGGTCTCTTGGATCTCTGGATGACGCTTCCTTAGTCTCCTCTCATCTGCTCCATCCATATGTGTTAGAGAAGCGTTAGGATAATGATGTGGGGAAGGGAAATGCAACCAGTGTCTGTGCACAGGTGGATGCCTGCCCTGGGGCTGGACCTGCAGTCTCTATTCTTTGGCAGAGTCGTTAAATGGGATTGTGTTGGGAATGATAGCCCGGGGCAGGTCCAGGAGCTGCTGCTTATCCTTTGTGGGCAGCTTTGAGCCACCCAGGAGCCCTCTGGGAATGGATTATTGGCTCTGACAAATCTGAAGTGGTGGAGTCACCATTCCAGGAGGTGTTCAAGAAACATGGAGTTGTGATTAGTGGGGATGGGTTGGGGTTGGACTTAAGGGCCTTAGAGGTCTTTTCTAACTTTAATGATTATATGGTTCTATAATGCCTGAGGTCAGCAGGGGAAAAGGGGGCAGCAGTAGGATCCAGCTGGGTCTTGGACTGTAAAAGGGGAACCATAAGGTGGGGAGCAAATTGCCCAATGAGAGCTGATAGAAAAAGCTCAAGGAGGTGATGAAAGCTCTCAGGATGGGGTGAGAGCTGAAGTAGGAGAGTGAATGTTTATTGCTTTCTGGTTTGATAAAATTTGCATCTGTGCTTCATGTGCACCTTCACCATGTCTTTTATCCATCTCAGGCACTGTAGAGGGTGATGAACCCAAAAAACTGGAGTAACGCTAAATCTAGTATTGGTTGGCTAGATATTAGCTTTGTGAGAGAGCATTTCCCCAGATTCTTCTCTGGTCACCCCATGGTTGGTGCCTCTAAGTGTCCTCTGGTCACCCCAGTCCCCCTTTCTCATCTCAGACCACCCCTTTTCTCCTTCTACAGCTTTAGTTTTCCCTTCTCCCCCACTCTGACTTTCCTGTGAGTATAAACTAGCCTTATTGGTCTTATTTTAGTAATGGAGAAAAAATTTCCCTTTGGCCCAAGCTAGCAGGATGGTAAACTCCAGCCAGAAGAATAGGTTGTACTTATTTATCTATTTATTCCCCTTTTATAGCATTTCTAATCTGTGTTTATGATGCTGATGCTGACACATCCTAAACTATAGCCTTGCTATAACCCCCGGAAAAAAACTCCCTGCTGGATTGAAATAGTGGCTGGCAAGTATTCCCTCCTCACTGAAGACTGTGAATCAAAAACCATCAATGCTTTAAGCAAAGGCTTGTGCTGGGGAGGGAGAACTTCTGCTGGAGCCTATGCATATTTTATCACCGTGCTTATTCATTCTGAGCCCTTTTCCCTTCAAACGCAGTGTGGATTTTAATTAAATAGTCCTTCACCAGCCTGTTATTCCAGCTTGGATAGCCTCCAAATGGCCATGTTTTCTTCCCAGAATGAAGGCAAGGGGATGTGCTCCCTTCCCCCAGCTCCGTTCCCCTCCCTGTGCTTGCCGAGGTTTGTTGTCCACAAATGCCATTAATTACATTCGGCTGTCTGGCTGCCTGCTCTCCTGGTAGCTTCTTTCATTACTGCTGATCTCTCAGTGCTGGTGGGTGCCCCTGGTATGCTAGGAGCCCCACTTCTGCACACGAGGTTCTGATTCCCATCTTTCAGCCTTTTGGCATAAATTTGGGGTGAGGTCTTTCTGTAGAGGGTGATTGATCTCACTGAGATCCCACATTCCTGGGATGCTCAGCATTCCCTGGTTTCTCTGTGTCCTCATTGGAGCAAGATGCAGCCTCCAAGCCCATTGGGGTGAGCAAGATGCTACCAAGCAGCTCTTAGGCACCGTGCAGTAGGATGTGTTTGGATCAAACCATCGTGGTTGCATCAATATCTGCTTCCTTTTGGAAGTTTCTTTTGGGGTTGGTAGAGCAGTCTGGGTGCAACTCCTCATCACCTTCCTGGTTGCAAGCCAGGCTAGTGTTGGTGCCTCCAGCATCTTCTCCACTAAGCAGTGCTTGGGCAATTTGGTGGAAGGGTCAAACAAATAAATCGTAGTATCATTGAGACTGGAAAAGACTTCTAAGATCACAAAGTACAATCATCAAACCATCACCTCTACTCTCATTCACAGAATCATTAAGGTTGGAAAAGACCACAAAGATCATCAAGTCTAACCACCAACCCATAAGCGGGAGAAGAGAGAACATTTCTCCACCTCCAAATGTCTCACGGAAGCTCTTCCATGGCAATCCATCCTGTAATAGAATAATGTCCCAAAATCACGTAGGATCAGCATCCACAAGAAGCCATAGCCATAGGCTGATGGTTACTTCAGGCACCAAGATTTTTCTTCTTTTTCTCTGCTCTTAAATTCCCACTGGTCTCTGAACAACCTCAGGTACCGATATGAGCTTGCTCCTGCTTGTCATGAAAGAGTTGCTTAATTTGGCAGCTTGCTGTGCTTAATATTTCTTTCATGTATCACATCAGTTTTAAATGCAAAACATGTCTGGATAAACTCACTTTTTCAGTTTTTCGGCTTTTTTCCCCTGTGATGTAGCCGACACATGGAAGGTAGCAGTGTTTAACTAATAAAGAAAAAGATTTTAAAATGCTAGTTTTGTACTTCTTTAATTGACTTCCAATTTCCATTTGGATGCAGCCTGGCATATTGCAAAGGGAAAAAGAGTGTGTGGTAAATAAGAAATGCGTCATTCACTGCTTTCTACCATAATCAAAAATGTAAAAATTAGAAATCTGAATCAATGTACATTAAACTATGTAATTGCCTGAGTAAATGTGGTGGGGTGCATAATGGAGCTTCCTGATTAGAAGAAAATACCAAATTTAGTGCAAGGGCTGTGTTTGGTTGAGTCTGTAAAGCAGTGTGGTTGAGCAGTTACACCTAGGGATCATCTCTTCTTCTGGGAGCTGAGAAGAGCTGGTGCTATAGGCGAGGGGTAAGTGCTGAAAGGATTAACAAAAGGTTCCTCACCAATCCGCTTACAAAAATAATGCCTCGATGTCACAAGAAAAAACATCATCCAGGTTAGCGTATTGCCTTACATTTGTCCTTTCCTCTGTGCTGCTTTCCCCTACCTCAGCCAAAACTCACTTTGCCCTTGAGTGTAGGATCACTGCATGCTTTGTGCTTGAAATTTGCTTTGCCTCCACAATGACACAGGACATCCTCAGCACCTTCAATCTCCAGAATGTCACCCCATGAGAATTGTGTTAATATTGGAAGGTGCAAGAGTGAAGGGGACTATGTGGAGCTTGCTGGGGGTCCATCCACGTGGGGATCCACAGTTAGCCTAACTTCCATGAGGCCATGGGCTTGGAAGAAACGCAGACCCCCTTCATGCCTGCTGCCTGTTGCTGGATGAAGGTAAGCGATTGCGCTATGATAGGGAATAAAATTACTGTGGATCAGAAGAAGATCCTAGAAAAATTTCAGCTTCTGCTTACACAGAAGGGAAAAACGGTCTCCACTAATGATTTACAGCAGATGCTTACTTGGGCTGTTAAGGGAGATGCTATTAATTGTTCATGGTCATCATGCTGAGTAATGAGAAAAGGCTTAATTATTGCAGTGCGTTCATCCTTGCCTGCATGGTCCTGAGAACAAGGAGTCAAATCTCAGGTGAAACCTCATGCAGAAGCAAATAGTCACCATGAAAAGGGCAGAATCCCTACAAAGCTTGAAATAAGAGCTGTCAGCTGAAAGGGGTCCAGCTGCCTACGTCCCACCCACCTTCCTGGGAATACCCAAAGTTTTGGGATTGCTGCTCTGAGAAGGGCTGCGCAGGTAACCAAATAACTAGAAACTTAGCAATAATAAAGTTTTTTGACCCATAAGGCATCATATCAGAGAGATATTGCACATCATTGGTGGGGTAGGAGGAAGTTAGCCCTAGGACCATTACATTTTCTAGCATGGGAGAGTTGCATTAACAAAGGTTAATTAGCATGGCTTTACCTCCTCCCAAGGTCTCCTAGCATTGGTAGGAAGGTCCCCACTGATACCACCAAATGTGGTGGAAGATCTTCAAGGCCATTTCCTGGAACAACTTGCATTGGAAGGGACCTGAAATCTACTTTAGGCCATGCAGAGAGAAGAAGTGCTGCGGGGCTGTGGACTTTGAGCTTTGAGCTAGTGACTTACGGTGCCAGGTCTAAAAATATTTGAAAACACGTGGCCATAAAACCCATGAATGTTCATGTACACTAATTGTGCTATTTGGCCTATTCACTGCGATGGCAGAAAGAATGAGATGAAGTGACAATAATAACTGGGAGAAAAACAAACCAAACAAAAGATATTTCCCTGCTCACACCCAGAAAATTCACCCTGGACAAACATGAAGCTACACTCTCCCACACAATATTGACATACAGTGTGGCACCCAGAGCCATTCCTTATCTCTAAGCACTTTGACTGCACTTTGTGCTTGACCAAGGATATGGGTACAGGAACCAATAGCAGTGTGCAGCGATGGACATGACAGATGACAATCCATTTCTCTAGCTGCTCAAGGAGCTAGGGGAAGAAAATGCAATTACCCAAAGTGGGCTGTTGGCAGGACACTAGGGTGTAAACAGAGCGAGGACAGTACAGTCCCAGGAAAAAGAGATGAGGGGCCCCAGTGCCAAACCAGCTGCTCACAGTGAGAGCTCTGCTTTGCTTTTGGACTCTTCCTTGGAGACAATGCTTGTGTGTTTTGTATTGCTAATTGCTGCACACCAGCCTCTTTGTTCCCATTAGTCTTTAAACGATGTGCAACAGTAGCCTGTGGTTAATTTTACCAAATGTTCACATTAATTTTATTTAAGACCAGCTGTCTATAAATCTATAGCATTTATTTACATTGCACGTGTATAAATATTGATTTATATATTATTCTGCGCTGAGGATAAGGTAATGGGTAACAAGGCAATAGAAGGAGCGATACCTCGATGGTGTGCTTTGGTCCTCAGTCTCCCACTCTAGGGTGACATGAAGGCTCAATGACAGCTTGACACTGATGGGAACACTCTCTGGAGATACATCTTACAGACCAAACTTCACTGATGTTTTTCTATGCCCTAACCCCCCCCCATATGTTAGGCTTGTGGGCTAGTATTAAAAACTTGCTGTCTGCAAAGCAGCAATCTATGGAGTAGCTGGGAGCCTGAGTTTATTTGCATTCAAGCAGGCATACCTGCATTTAAATACCTGTAGGCAAACGAGTCCACCCAGCTCCAGCTTTGCTCTTTCGTGTGTCCCCAGCGCTGCATTTGTGTGTGTTCAAATGCAGTCTGTCTTCTTCTTTTCCATTTACAGGGAACGGGAAGATGAGGTGGTGGCCTCGTCCTGATGGCATTGGTCCATCAGTGGAAGGTAAATGACTGTGACATTACCCCAATAGCGTTAGTCCAATAGAAAGCTGTAAGTGAAGGTTGGTGACTTCTGTTACCTGGTTATCACAATCTCATTGGTGTTTCAGACCCGTGTCTGCTCCATCCCTGCCCATGGCAGCACCAGGACAGCTGGGATCAGGCTACCCCGGGGTGAAGGGAAAGGCTGCAGCTCCTTGGTCCCAAAGCGCGGTGAGATGGGGTCAGCCAAGAAACGGATGTGGAAGTGGCGACCAATGCAATGCACCAGGCTGCCCACCACGGCACACTGGAAGCAGGCTGGGTAGGCTTTGGCGTGGGTGGCACATTCATACCACAACTTGGCCTTGGCTCTACAGCGATAGACACCAATACCCGTGTTGCAATTGAGGTCGAAGCGGTAGATAAAACCATTGACGCTCACCATCTCCGCTGTCCTGTCCTTGCCGCCTCCAGCTGGGCTGATTGTCCAGATGTCCTCACGGGCTATGTAGCGCAGCAGCACATAGCGCAAGGTGCCCCCCGTCACATAGATCTCCCCATCACACACTGTGGCCATGTGGGCTACAGCAAAGGTGTCATGAGGCAGTGGAGCAACGAAGACCCAGCGGTCATACCGTGGGTCATACCGCTCCACTGTATAGAGGCACTCTCCACCGATGGCATAGAGGTAACCATCCAAGGCCACCAGCTTGCAGTGAGGACGTGCTTGGTTCAAGGGGCAGATCTCCCTCCAGATATCGGTCAGTGGGTTGTAGCAGAAGACACGGTTGGAAGGTGTGCGGCCCAAGCCTTCACAGCCTGCTACCACAAAGAGGTAGTTGAACATGCTGCACATGGCACACCCCTGGGAGACTACCTCTGGTGGCATGTGGCAAAGGTGATGCCAGCGGTCCCCTTTGTCATCATAGCAGCAGAGTCGGCTAGCATAGAGGCCCAGCTCATGCGTGCTGATGTCTGCCACAACAACACACATCTTCCCCTTCATTCTGCGCTGAAGGATGAGATCCCGCTCACTGGCGTTGAGGCGGCAGTAGATGGAGGGCGTCCTCAGCACCTCTAGGTAGTTGTCACTCATGACCTTGTAGGCAGCCTCCTGAAGAAAGCCTAGCTTCTCTGCCTTGGCCCTACAGAGGACCTCGTAGCAGTTCCCCAGGTCCAAACGGGTGTCTAGGGAGGAGGGTGATGTTTGGAAGAAGTTGGCTTTGCCCACCAGATCTGGCTGAGGGCTTGCTGGTGGCACACTGGCTGGTGTGACACAGAACCCATCCATAGGCAGCTGGAGGTGACAGTTCTCTGCAATCTGGAGGATACTGTTCTTACGGCTGATGCTGCGAGTGGGAGCCAGGGGCTTGGGGTTCTTCTCTAAGCTCTCCGCATTTGATGGGGCAATAAGAGAGGTGGTAGGGTCCTGCAATGCCACAGTTGTTTCTTGGGAGTGAGTCTCAGCGAGCGGAGTGGCAAAGCTCTGCAGCTTTTTGTTGACCCCCTCTGATCTCTGCAGCTCTTCGCTGAGCCACTCCAATCTTTGTTGTTCTGTGTTGACCCACTCCAAGCACTGCAACTCTTCCCTTACCTGCTCTGAGCTGCAGCGCAAGGCTGTCCCCATAGAGGCAGGTGGAAGAGACTTTTTTGTAGATACTGAATGGGAGATGGACTGGACGTAGTAGTCATAGACTTTACCTTTGAGGCCAGGAGACAGCCGCCCGTCTCCATCCTTTGTCTTCTTCTCAGCGATATAGCTCTCCTCCACCTCGATCTTTGCAATCGAGGAAAAAGAGTAGGAGGTATCTGCTTCCTTATAGCTTGCTACTATCTTTACCCCCAGCTCCGAGGTGACATTAAGGGTCTGGATTGTGCCACTGCTCCCCTCCTGGCTGATGATTCCTCCGGCCAAATCCTGCTCGGTGCTTTGTGCGCCTCCATCCCCTGCCATCTGGTTAGGAAGCACAATGTGTGGGACAAGCACACCGTGTCCATTTCCACCACCCTTGCTCCCATTCAGCATTTCATTCAGATCCCTTATGCCGTGAGATTTTGCCTCCCCTCCGTCTTCCTTCTCACTCGCTGGCAGAATTTTCTCTCTCTTTCGCCATGGATCTGGGACGCTCGCTTGGGCATCACCGCCACTCCGTGCCCCAAACACCCACCTGTGCCGCAGACCCTCCACATTCTGCCCATCAGGAGCTGCATTTTCCCTTCTTCCCTTCTCTCTGCAAGCATCGGATGTTGGGTTGTTGCCTCCAGGTGCTGAGCGGGACTTGTAAAATCTGTATGCCAAAGTCAGCAGGAGCAGAGAGGCGGCAGAAAGGATCAGCTTGCCAGTCAGCTGCATGTCCGACTGCCAGAGCACAGTTACCCACTGTCCCATTTTTCTGTGCCAAGCACTTGAGAATGTGAAGAATCCGATTAATGATTGCTGAGCCCCCAGCGGAACCTGCCAGGAGTTTGGGGCAAGGTGACTTTGAGCACACAGGAGGTTTGCATAGGAGCTCATCATATTTGAGCAAGGTGGGACAGGGAGGGCTCAAGTGTCACTAGCAGGGAGCTGTGACACAGAGCTTGGCAAACAAAGAGACTCTGGGATAACTTAAGGAAGCACAAACCTGATGGGATGGAATGTATGTCCTCCATGCATCCTGCCACTTCTGCTTCGCTCCATTGCTTTTTACTATTTAATAGTGCTGGAAGGGAAAAACAACTTCCTTGACCCAAGAAAGGTTTTATTTCCTTGTTTTGTGTCCCTGAGGGGTGAAGCCAGGTGAAAGCTGAGCACGGGGAAAGAAGGGAGGAGACAGCCCGCAGCTGGGCAGACCTTTGTTCCGACGCAGAGCAGCTGCTCTGCGCCACCAGATGAATAATTTGGCAGCACACTCACTAACAAAGGGTGACAGGAAGTATCCCAACAGCCACTGTGTAAACTCATTTGGTGGTGAGCCTGAAAGTGACAGATGGATAACGAGCCATGGGGAGAGGGGCTGGAGTCTTGGGGAGGGCAAACTACTGCAAATAGAGCTGGGGTGGAGGTGGAAAAGGAACTGCAGGCTGGAGTTATGGTGTGCGTAGCAGGAGGATGTGCTTCGGAAAGCAAAATCATTGGGCTGAGGGAAGAAAAATGGTATAGGGAGAAACTAGAGAGGTGTGAGCCGTCATTTTGAAGGGGTGAGTGCTGCATCGAGGCTTATCAGGACGCATGCAAGGATGGGAGTTGCCAGAGGTGGAACCGAGGCACAGATGTCATACATTTTTCCTACTCCTCGTGCAAAATGTCATGAGCGTGAGCAATTCCCATCTGAATTCTGAAAAATCTGGGGAATTGTGCATCTGCATGGGGAGGAAAGAAGGGCTATTGGGCCATCCTATGCATGGCATCCCCCACTAGCCTCTGCTGAGTGGGCTGACTTCAAAGGGAAACCATGAACTTCCTTTTCCCCCAGGGGCACTTCTCTGCACTGAGAGATGCAAAGGAGCGAGGTCCTGCACGAGCTGAGGAGGTAAAGAACAGCACAAGCTCTTTCAAATGGAGGAAAAAAAAAAAAAGCACAACCAAACCAGCCAAAATGTGGGTGTTGTGCAAATTCGGTCCTGATGCTGTAAGGATTTGCTGGGAAAATGACAACTTGTGATACTAAAAACTGTGATGGGTGTGTGGGAGACAATCAGTGCTAGTTTCTTACCTGAGAGATGGGGAAACTGAGGCACCACTGCAGTCTCGTGGAACTAGGTTTCATCACTCATGAGCTCAAGGCTGCAGTACCACTCTGCTTCGTGCAGTACTCTGTTTTTCAAGACTGTTCTGTATTTGTGTGTGCATTGAGGCCAGGGTGCATTTTGGGGCATGGCTAATTGGCTGTATGTGTCATTCAGAGTCCATCCACCTGTATACGGATGTGACCCTGGGGTTTCTCATCTCTTGCTGCTGTGACTGTTAATCAGCACTAAGATCTGCCTAGAGGGCTCCTTATGCAGGGAACATGAATTACATGTGCCTTTGTAAGCAGCCCTGTGAACTCAGCCAAGTAGCTGTGTCCAGTAATGATAGAACAGAGGCAGGAGGGCACTGAAGAGGCTATTGCTTGCACATGACACATCCCTGCCTTTGTGTCCGCATCCAGTATCCCCCAAACCTGGGGGCTTCCCAGTGTTGGACGTGCTGCATCCTTGACACATCCCTGGGGCATACTGCAGCGTGTGGTTTCTCTCATCATGTGCTTTTGTAGGGCTTAGAAGGACTAAGAACCTTGCAGGAATTGTGCTGGAGCAGGGAACATAGCCATTGCAAGCTGAGGTGATGTCCTGGCTCTTGTCACCCTAATTGAATGTAATTGCTGCCTCCAAATTTTGCTAAAACCGTTTCAAAGTCCACTGAAATTAGGGAACATGGATAATGCCAGTCCTTGGGGTTTTCAGCTTGCGTCATCCCTAAGAAGTGTGATTAATTTTTCACAAGCTAATCGTATCTCTTAGGCAGATTGTCAGTGGAAGATCTGTCAGCTCTCATCAATAATGAACCAAGCAGAGCAGCTCCGTAACCTCGCGCTCTCCTGCATTATTCACTGTCAGATCCTCAACAACAGGAGTCTGGTGGGGAGAGAGATGGGATTTAATTGATGCCCTTCATAATTCCATGTAGAATTGCAGCAGGTGAAGGATAAGGGTGCAGGAGGTGATGGCCGGGCCCAGGTTATGTGTGGAGCATTTGGTGAGGCGATGCCATTCTGTGTCACCCTCTAACACATTGATGTTTGGACTTGATGATCATAGTGATCTTTTCCATCCTTAATGATTCTATGATTCCATCACGACTGCTCATATGGCAGATGAAGTGATACAGCTGCTTTAACACTCGGTGAGACAAAATCAAATCAGCCATTTCTGCCCAAAGTGAGAGTTTTATGTGTTCCTTTGGTCATCATTTGGGCTGTACTAGTAATAAGGTGGTCTCAATCTTCATTCTCTCTGCACATTGATAGATACTGCCATAATGGGTGGGCGGGTTGATGATTGGAATAGATGTTCTACAGTTGGAACTGATGATCTTAGAAGTCCTTTCCAATCTTAACAATTCTATGATTCTATAATCATAATCAACAAGGAAAGAGCCAAGTGTCCCATATGGATAGCAGATTTGGGATGCTGAGCCCATCAGCTCATCGATCCTCTTCCAGTGGTGGCACTTCTCTGAAGCTGGTGCAATGAAGTGGGTGACGGCTTTGTTATGCCTGTTTCCATGGTTATAGGTGATAACGTTGCATTTAAACACAGATCTGAGGGTCTGCAAATCCCCATTTTCACAGTGAGCAGGCATAATGGTTGTTTAATTGCATTTGGGTGAGAGCCCCGGAGTGCAACTGGAGTTGCTGCATTTCTGACCTAGCAAGCAATATCTGTGCCATCAGGAATCGTGCTGCATGGTCTATAGCAGGCGGGTAACCCAAATAGCATGGATTTCCCTGAAAAGAAAGGCCCTCATCTTAAACAGATACAGAAAGTGTCTGTAACCTACTTTGGAGCAGAGGGCAGCTGGTTTGTAGAGCCGAGGATTCAGCAGCTGGCATCCTTTCTTCCTGGCAGGGATTCGGATGCTTGGTTCTTTTTGCTTCAGGATGAAAGCAGAGCTGCTAATCCTCCTAATTCCCATCCATCCGGGGCCTCTGGAGCAAACTCGTCCCTGCATAGCTTCCAGCCGAAACTACGGTGCTGAATGGTTTTGTACATCAGTAGCGACTCCTGAGCCATTGTGTGTTTATTCAGTTCCTTTGAGGTCTGGAAATTGCTGGCAATGGTGAGTGGTAGGAAGTGAATCTGCTTAATAATAATTAATCATAATAGTAATAATAGTAATAATACTTAGCACTAGTATGGGGCTTTGGGAAGCTGAAGTGCTGCACGGCTGCTGGCTAATCCTTCAGAATTAAGTTCCTGGAGGAAAAGGTAGGGGAGTGAATGCCTGCATAGGGCTGGCTTAGCACCAGAAGGTGCACAGTTATTTTAGGGTCTACATCCCCAGTGGCACTCATGCCAGTCACGCGCACAGCTTGTGCCATGGAGCTGAGTCCTGGTGCAGTAGTGCAGTGGGCTCAGGATCATCCCTTCTACCAGCCTGAGCGTGCACTAGAGTTGGTATAAATGGAGGGACATGGTCCCTACTGCTTCCTTTCCAATAGACTTTGGGCCCTGGCATCATAGCATAACTGTGTTCCTCTCCCAGACCTTGAAAAGCCACTGGGTTCCCCATGGCAGATGGGTACCCCTAGTACTCCAGGCCAGTCCCCAGATGTTCCTTCAGTTCCCAACCCAAGCTCTCTACACACAGGAGGACAAAACATTCAGTGCAGCCTTCTACAGAGGGAGGTTTTTTTTTTCTTTTAATTAAATTGTCCAAGGAAGCCAAGACACAGACAGAAAGAGACTGAGACTGTAAATAGCATAGAAAAAAAAAGAAAAAAAGAGAACCAATTGGCAGAGGTGTAAACGACAGGTGGAACTGTACAGAGGAAGAGGCAAGTGAAGCTTCACGTTAGATCCAGGATCACTGTTAGGGTGAGTGCCAAAACTAGTCTGAAGCTGCAGTGGCTGGTAATTGAACCTAGGCAGGAGGAGAAAAGGGATGGAGAATTCAGGGATTTCCATCTTGATCACAGAATCATACTATCAGTTGAGTTGGGAGAGACACTTTAAGGCTGTCTGTCTTGTCCAACTCTCCTGCAATTAACAGGGCCACCTACAGCTTGACCAGGTGCTCAGAGCCCCTTCCAGCCTGACCTCATGGGGCCACCACCTCTTAGACTCACCTCACCTCCAGCCACCACTTACCATTGGAGTCCTCTGTTCCTCGGGGAATATCTGGATTTTCTAAGGAAAAGAACCAGCAGAGAAATGGGTTAAGAGGGAGGAAAGACGAAAGGGGACATGTGGGGGAGGGGCAATGCCGTACCAAAGACAATGAGGCGGGTGTGGGTGTCAGTGGAACCCAGTGGGTTCTGTGCAGTGCAGCGGTACATGGAGCCATTGAGCTCAGCTGGCACGCGCTCCAGCACCAGCTCCTTCCCGGCGTGCTCGGCACTGCCATCCAGGAGCCGGCTTCCCACACGGGTCCATGTGAAGAGGGGCTCAGGGAAGACTTCGTTCTGCATGGAGAGGACAGCAGGGTGGGTTTTGTGACCCTCAAGCCTGGCCTCCACTGTCCCAGCTTTATGGCCACATGGCAAACTTGAAGTGCTGGAATGGATGCAGGGACAACATCACCCCATGGCAACATGGACAACACCACATGGGGACACTGACCTGAAAGCCCTGCACCAAAATCCGAACAGTGTCTCCAACCCGTGCTCTCACTGGGGTCATGATGATTTTAGGGCCCTTGGGAGCAACTGCAACAAAAAGGGATGGGGAGAAAAGGGTCATCAGCCCTTGGTTGGGGTGAACGACGATTTGATGTGGTGCTGGTCAGCTAGGAAGGCAGACTGTTGGGTAATTGATGAACAGATGATAGACGGCCAAATGGACAGGTAGGGAAGTACCCTGTTGGCTGATGAGATTGATAGACAGCTGCTAGAGGATGCATTCATAACTGAAGTCATTTCCTAGCCAAAATGAATTTCACCCCACTCTGTTTCCTCTATGGCACATACCAAAATGTCTCTGCAGCTGACAGACTTCTTCCCCCCACCCCACCCCACCCCCAAAAAAAACCAAAAAACAAAAAACAAAAAAACAGCAGTCCTTCCCTTAAGGTGCCTCTGTTTCTAGGGAGCCCTGGTATCACCTCCTCATGTCACCATGCAGCTCTATACATCACGCTGTTTTGATTCTTGGGTGTATGAAGAACCCACCCCCCACCCTCTGGGAAAGAAAAGCAAAAAGGTGTAAAGAGATAAAAAGGCAAGAAATTTCAAAAAATGGAATAAGTGAGGGAGAGTGGGAGGGGGAGGAAAGCAATAAATGCAAAAAAACAAAACAAACAAACAAAAAAAATCCAGAAAAAGCTAAAGCAAAACAAGCAACAAATTCAAAAGTGTACTAGATGTGAAAAAGCAAAATTGAGCAGCAAATGCAAAATTGAATACATGCAGAAAAAAAAAAAAAAAAAAAGTAAAATGGCAATAAATACAGAATTGCAATAAATGAAAAAAAGTTTAAAAAGTGATAAATGCAAAATTAAAAAAAAAAAAAGGCAATAAATACAACATTGCAACAAAGACCAAAAAATTACACAGGTACAGTTGCAATAAACAAAAAAAGAGAGATGCAAAAACAGGCGATAAACACAAATGCAAAAAAGAAAGAAAGGAAAAAACATGCAGTTAATGCAATAACTGGAGAAAAAGCAAAAATATACCTTCCCCCCTCCCCCCCCCCCAAATTGCAATAAATGCATGAAGAAAACCAAGAAGTTCACCCAACCACAACTGCTGTCCTTACCGAGAGTCACCTCTGACTGCATGGGCATGGAGAGCGCCGGATGCTTCACCTCACAACTGAAGAGCGCATCGTTGTCAATTTGGGGGTTGAGGGTCCAGGTGAGGGTGGCCCGTGCCTCCACTGTGCCATCACTGATGGGCACGTGTGTGTGGCGGAAATAGTAAATGGGCTCCGCCACATGCACCCAGCGTGGGAACTCCCTGCTCACCACAGTTTCGGGGATGGCTTCAGTGGTGGGACCCCGCTCAGCTGTCAGCCCCCGCGGGGGTTCTGCGGTGTCGGGGGGCCCGCCCCCCATTTCTCCCTCGGCCAGCAACTGGGGCACCTTGGTGTCATCCAGGTCACGGTGTAGGAGGTTGCGAGGTGCCCAGTTCCCAGTGGCAGCTGGTGGCTCTGGCAGCGGAGTGGCCTCAATGGGCTCCCCATCGCGCTTGAAATATACCTGTGGAGGGGGCAGAAGGGATAGGGAGCACACGGCAGTGGCACTGGGCTACCTCCTGGGCCATTCCCTTGGGCAGCTGTGAGTCCCCAAAGCTCTGCAGAAACATGTTATGGTGCTAACAGGCAGGAATTGCCTTTGCTTTGACACTAAATGTATTAATATATATGTAAAAATCCATATACTAAACATTAAATAGCAGAATTTCCTGTTGGACATCTAGGGACAACATGTGTGTAATAACAAAAGTACAATTTAAGATAGGTCAGAAACAATTTTGGTCACAGGATAGGAGAAAACAGAATAGAAAAGAACAGAGGATGGAATGGCTGGGAGGGATCTGCAAAGACAACTGAATAGAGAATAGGATAGAATAGTTGGAAGAGATCTACAAAGATCATTGAACAGAGAATAGGGTAGGATAGGCTAGAATGGAATAGAATAATTTCAACTAGAAGGGACTTACAAAGATCTTTGAGTCTAACTGTCAGGTCACAGTGAGTGTACATATACAAAGCATCTCTCTCTCCAATCCCCTGTTCTCTGCCAAAGGATTGCAGGGACCCAACCTACAGATATTTTCAGAAACAAATTCTCACCAGTGGGGCAGGCTTGCCACCGGACACTACACACACCAAGGTGAAGTTCTGTGCCTGGTAGCGGCTGAAGGGCGCTGGTGTGTCAGCAGCAATCACTGAGATAGATGTTGGCGGAGCTGCATTGGGGATGAAAAGCTGGAGAGTGAGTACAGTGTCCCCATCCCATCTCCAGCATCACCTCTTTGACTCCCTGCAATTCACTGGGGTTGCAAACTGGGAAAATATGAGCTGGAGGTCACCCCTTGAACCATCACCATAATGTCTCAGTGGTGGTTTGAGCATGGGGTCTGACCCTCCTAAGGGTTCCCCTCTATCCCCACCCAACTGCTCACTCACCTATCACTCCTTATCGTCACTGTCACATCATTGTTTAGTCATGACTGCCACCACATCATCACCACCACCACGCTGTCACTACCTCATTGTCCCCACCACCCTGTCATCACTACCTTATCATCCCCACCACCTCAACATCATTTCCACCACCACATTGTCACCAACTCATCATCCCCACCATCACATCATTGCTGCACTCACCCATCACATTGAGGAAAATATTACCAGACGCCAGGACCACCTTCTCCCGTGTGGCTCGGTCATAAATGCCGACGTGACACTCATAGGGGCCATTGTCCGAAATGCGAACCTCGGGGAGGCTGGGAAGGACAGAGGGGACTCATTGCCAGCCCTTACTCCAGCTTCCCTCATCCATAGCAAGGAACATCCTGCTAACAGTGATGGAAATGAGCCATAGATCGATAACTATTAATAACTGCAAAGGCTTCAGGAGTGAGCTGTGTAATGCAGTTTAGCAGCTGGAGTTTACCAGCACTGGCAGCTCCTCAGGAAAGTAAGTAATGGCATTAATGAAAGAAGAAGCTCACAGGAAGTAAAGGCACTGCTGAGAGCAAAAAACTGCAAACCACAGACATTAAATGTTTGCAAAATGCTTATGGGAAAGGCTCAGATGCTATGGACCCCTGTTTCCAGCTGGGCAATGCCACAGCTATGGAAAAGTGCACTGGATAGAAGCATCAAAAGCACAAACTCCGAGCAAGCATGTTCCTACGCAGGGCATGCTTTGATCTATATGCCATCTAGATTTTTTTATGTATTCAAAAAACAGTAGAGGAATGCAATACAGGAGGAAATACTCCAACCTGCTGCAAAGAGCCACCTACCAGTGCAGCATCCTGCTGCAAAAATTGGGATGGGACCACCACACAGCCTCCCACTGGGACATCCAAGCAAGAGTATCATCTGTCTAGTCCCAGTTTTACAAACAAAAAAAAAAAAACTTCCAGCCCCCAAAATGGATTTTCTGCAGCACTCAGGCACGCACTTTGCAGGGCTTCCCCAGCTTATGGGGGAAACAGAGTGGCAAGCAGGACTCAGCGGCTCCTTGCTGGAAGCCTCTGGCTGCCTTCCCATACCATGCAAAAGCCCTGCTAGCGTAAACAAGCCCCCGCTGACGTGAGCAGTCGCTTGGCAGTGCCTTTTAACGGCAGTGTTACTCTCAACTGAGCCTCCGCCATCTGTTGCAGCCTCTAATTACCCATGTACGCATGCTTGGTTAGCAGAGAAGAGGGAAGGGAGAAGCAGTTGGAATGATTTCGGTCTCTGCTCCATTTCAGGCCTGTCCTATCGCAGTGGCTTGAGATCTCTAAGCTTACTTGGAGATCTAGATTTGGGGGGAAAAAATGGTCCCAACTGGATCACGTTGAGGGTTTCTGCCGCTATAATCCCAAGGATAAGGATCCAGCCCTGCTAGACAGAGGGATGGGATGTTTGGAAGGGACCTACAAAGATCACTGAATATAAGATAGGTGAGAACAGAGAGGACAGGATGGAAGACAGGACAGGATAGAACTGTCAAGCCCTAGTGATGCCCCACTGCACTCTTTGTACCTTGCAGCCAGGCTGATATCCCATGCAGATGCTCAATGTAGGGTGAGCAGGATGCGCTACAACACACCTCTCTCCTCCCTGAGAGGATTTATTTTTTTTTTTTTTTTTTAATTTTTTCTTTGGTCAAAATCCACTGAAATACCACTCAATAGATTAAAAAAGCAACTTTACGAGCTGCTGAAGCAGCCACCAAAACCGGAAGACACAAGGAGAGACCCCCTCACCCCCAAAAAAGTATCAAGCCAGCGATTCAGAAAATGGGCTCTTTTCATACCCTTTGAGAAACAGCTCCTTTCTCAGAGTTCAAGGCACGTTGCTGCTTTCCACTGCAAAAAGGCAATTGCGTACAAATATTTCTAGCACAAACATCCTGGACTGCATGGTAATTCAGATGATTTGTAGGCGATGCACTGACAATTACCGATGCTTTTAAGTGCTCAATTCTAGGGCAGCAGAATTTTCTGCTCTCAAATTGTATTAGTTCTACAACACGTATAAAAAGAAAAAAAAATCCACAAAAAAAAGGAGGTTTCTGAGACAAAATACTGTTAGGGTCAACGTGCCTTAAAGCAGGTGAATTTGGTACATCTTCATCCCCATAGGATGGCTCAAGGATTGCCCATTGCTGGGGTCTTGCTCTATGCATGAGGAACTTTTTATTCTGATTTAAATTGCCGGTGCTGCCTGCTGAAGACCAGTGGTTAAATCCACACTGAGCAGAAACACTGGTGTTATGGCAGGAAAACAAGGTTGTCAAGTTAGGGAATGTGTAATCCATTAGCAAAGCCTCCAAAACATCCTCCAAACAGTAATTAGTCATGTCAGAAATTTGCAAGGCAACCAAAGTGAGCCTGAGCTACACAGAGCAGCAAAACTCAAGGAGGGAATTATCATCCTGGTATTCCCTGGGCATCCTCTGAGCAACTCCTGAGCATCCCCTCAGCGACACCCAAGCATCCTGAGCAATTCATTTGCATCTTCTGAACATCTTCATGAGCACCACCCTGCCTGCCCCCCCTCGAGTATTATCCTGCCCCCCCCCCCCCCCCCCCCCCCCCCCCACCCCCAAGTATGATCCTCTAAGCCTCCTAATCCCTGTCTGAGCATCTCCTGAGCATCCCTTTCAGCATCTCCCCTCCAGCCCTATTTTCCTATTTACTGTCCACTCTATATTCACATTTATCCATCATAGAATCATAGAATATACTAAGCTGGAGGAGATCCATAAAGATTATCCAGGCCAACACTGGGCTCCATACATGACCAACCAAAATTCAAACTATGTTATGCCACGAGGTCAAGAGATCACATGCACTTGCTCTCGCTTATAACAAAACACAAAGCCAAATACAATAGAAAAAAAACATCCAAAACCCCCAACAAAATTCATATTAAAAAATTGATTAGAATATCATGCTTGCATATAGCTAGGCATGGATGCTTACCTAAGGGATAAACCATGCCAAGTCCTTTCTGTACTGTGGACATTTGCAGGCATGAAGCACTGTGGTGCCTCAAGAAACTGACTGTATTTTCTTTCCCACACATAGGAAATTTGTTACCTGGCACTTGGAAAACTAAGCTTTGAAATACGATTAGCAAATTCTAATTTAAAAGGAAAACAAAGTAAAAAAAAAAAAATCATGAAAATAAATACTTTGCTTCAGCATTTCTGGCTTAAATTAAGTCTCCCCCTGATGTTTTTTTCAGGCTTCAGTTTTGTTTTTATAACATCAGCAAAAAACAAGCATGTAATTAATAATAAAGCTGACACTCTTGCAAGTGATTTTCACTTGGAAGAAACACAAAGATGAGCTCTTACGCTGCTTTTATATAAATAATTATTTTTATATATTACTCTCTCTCTCTCTCTCTGTATATATATATATATATATACATATACACATATATATATATGTACATATACATATGTACATATGTATATGTATATGTATATATATATATACATATATGTATATGTATATATACATATATATATATACACACACACACACAATTGTTTTTTTCTCCAGCTTATTTCAACCTTTGAAATTTCCACCCACAATACCCATTCCCCCAGGGACATGCAAGACCTTGGGGACAGACCCTGGCTCTTTGGCGACAATGCTTTGCAATAGGACCATTTCCTTGGAGTGGTTGCAACACAGGAAAGACAGCAAAAAAAGGTAATTTCCCAGCACGTGCAATTATCTCATTAGCAAGATTCCTGGGGTCACCATATCTTCCTGGGGTCACCATATCCCCACAGATGAACGAAGAAGAAAAGTATTGACTTATAGAATCACTGAATCACTAATGTTGAAAAAGACCTCTAAGATCATCCAGCCCAACTCCAACCCACCTCTATCAAGCCCACTACCCATGTCCCATCTCCACGCATCTTGAAAACCTCCAGGGATGGTGACTCCACCACCTCCCTGGACAGGCTGTCCCTGCACCTCACTTAATACCCTCAAGCAGCCCAATATGGGAAAAAATTCCTTAAAAAAGTATTAAGAAGCAGCCAGCATGTTGGTGGATGTGACATGAGCTGGACAGCAGCGTCAGAACAACTTACCGCACTGTGGACTGGTAGACCAGGTCCTCCCTCTTTCTGTAGTTCTCCATGTGTGAGAAATTGGTGGAGAACATTGCATCAAAAGTGAAGATCTTCTGCTTGATTGTGCCGCCATCAGTGACCTACAAACAAAACCCCAGCTATAAATCTCATTAAGCAAAATCCTCCAGTTTCTGTCTGGTTATCACTGCAGCAGTTGAAAGGCTATGCCATCACCCACCTCCCCAGCTGCTCCCTAGGACTTGCATTCCTAATTGGAAAAAAGCTTTCTGATGGGACCATAGAGGAGGTGTATCCTTCTCCACTGCCACTTGTAATGTTTTAGTACAAAAGAAAAAGCAAAAAAAGCAGAAGCAATGCATCTTGGCCACAGAGATTTGGAGGGCTGCAGCAGCTCAGATCAAGACACTGGAAAGTTAAAAAAAAAAAAATAGTCCTTTTTGAAATAAAATAGGCATCAGGTGCAGAAGTGTAGTGACAAACCCTAGAGCAGCATCTTCATGCTCTCTCGCCTTGTGCTTTCCTTCCTGCTTGGGAAAAAAAACAACTTTTGTTCCAGATTTTATCTCTCCCCCCTTTTTATCATATATAGGAGGGAAAAACATGCTGTCAGTAAAACTGTCTTCATAGATTTAATTGCTGACACTTTTATTACAGAGAAAACATATTCTCCTATGGACGTGGGATAAAGAGCAACACAAAGAATTGCTGGAGCCATAAATCTCTAGCCACAGGGGGGCAAGGGGAAGTTTTCAAGGAGAGATCGCATTCACCCCAAATCTTATTTATGCCCTGGACTGGGTTCGGGGAGGTTTGGGCAAAAGAGAAAAAAATCTCAGCACCACACTTGGATCTCTTGTACCATAGCTGTTAGTGGAATGTCCATGGGGGTTTTCCAGGCATTATTTTGGAGATAAAAAAGCATCTCAGAAAATAAATGAATGAAAGAAGAAATCAAATAAATACATAAAGGATTTAGTAAAATCCATTCCTTTTTCTGAAACAGCTGCATGTCATAAACGTGCTACCCTCAACTTGCTGCACCAATCCCGCAGCTGCAATCACAAGATGCAACCATAGCATGGTGCTTAGACCAGCCGAAATGCTGCACTCCAGATGTCTAAGTTGCACTTTTTTTCCCCTATTTTATGTTACTACTGAGCCTGGTCACTGCCAAAGGAGGGATACTCTGAATCAGGGTGTTGATGTTTTTTTTTTTTTTTTTAATACTGGCTTTTTTTTTTTTTTTTTTTTTTTTTTTTTTATACTGGGTTCTGGTGCTATCCCCACGCTATGGCCAAGTTGCACTGCAAGAGGGATGGATTCCATATCTAGCCAGATGCACGTAAAGCAAATGGAGCAGAGCAGTGCACCAGGGAAGCAGAGGCATCGCTGCCCCTGGGAGCCCCCATGGTCCCCTGAGGAGGGATGGCAGCTCTGTGGGTCCCTAAGGATTACAGGCAGCTAACAGGCTCCTCTGAAAAGGCACACAAAACAGTCTCTATCCGGGGATTAGACCTACTTACAGCCTTTTATCTGCACCCTAGGGTCAGGTTTGCTTTTTCTGAGAGGAGCTACAGAAGAAAAATCGCTGGAGAATCTACAGGGGGTAAAAGCAGTAGATTTAGAATAGGGTGAGGGGCGTTTGGCAGCATTGAGTGGTGATCACTCCAAATTGCAAGCCCCAGCTCCAAGCAGCCCCTCCTGCAGAAGGGGTGCAGGGAGAGGAAAAAGTGCATTTACAGCACTGGCACAGAGCTCAGCCTGAGGCTGCAGGCTGCCTGCTGCATTATTTATAAACCCCAGCAAAGATCTTATTCCTGACAAAAGCTCAACAATTGCCACTGTGCCGAGAGACATTAACCTTCTGCTCCCTCCTGCTTCTCCCTCGTTTGCTCTCACCTCTGCGGTGACCCAGCTACTTACTGCCCCCAAAACACAGCCACTCCCTTAATATTACTGGAGCCGCGCATCCCACTGTGATGGATGGGGACCAAGGGATGGAGGAAGGCACTTTGGAGGAAAAGCTGGATTGCAAAAGAATGGGAGGTGCTATGCATCCCAAGCTCTCACCCTCTAGTCCTTGCCTTGCTTTTTGCATAAGACTACCTAAAAACACTACTGGGGGAAAATAAATTGAGTGGTTGAGTTCTTTGCCAAAAATGGGATGGGGACTGATCCCCAAAAGAGCATCTCCATCCCCCATGCTCCCCAAAGGGAGCAGTGACATTGGAATGCTGCATACAGAATGCATGCACGTACAGATGAGCATTATACACACTGCAGAAGGGTCACGTGCAGTTTTGGGATGCTCCCTGAAGCTGGAGCCATAATAGAGAGTATGCTGCTGGCTCTCAATCCACTGTGCTGCTGCGTGTGACCTTGTCTGCCTGCCTGAGTTTGAGGAATTAAAATAGTTACCCATGCTGACATTTAAATTATCACCTCTGAGAGGCAGAACCGACCCAGTCAGCATGGAGATGAATGGCACAAGTCAGCCCATGCTCACTTACTGTCCCAAGATCTCTCCATCAGCACTGTGCTCGTAATTCAGAGCATTTCTCTGCAGCTATAAAACCAGTGGCTTGTCCCAAAACAGGAGCAAGCTTATAAATTGCAATAGATTTGCTTCAGCTGAAAAATTTGGAGTGCAACACCCCAAAAATTTGCAGTGTTTTTAGTATCTCGCCATCACCTTCCCCTGGAGCCCATGGTGGCTTTATTGCTGCCACTAGGAGACACTGGGGTATGGCCATGGTGTCACTTTGCTCGTAATGGGCAGTGGTAGCCCCTATGGGGACCACGCAGTGTCACCGTTGATACTGTTGGCAGCACACGATCAACATCTAGAACACATTGGCCTCTGCCTGTTACAGAAAGCAAAGCCCACACACTTTGAGTGCTACAGAAAGCAGTGTTCATGCACTGTGGATGCAACGGGAAGTAATGCCCATGCACCAAGAGTGCCAGGGGGAACAATGCCTGTGTATGGACACCACAATACCAATTCCTGTCTTCCTGCTGTTTTCTTTCTTGCTAATTACCCTGAGCACCAAGTTAATGAAATGGTGGAAAGCCACCTGCACTGGACCCAGGGACACCCCAGTGCTGAGTGCTGCATGTCCCCAGGACAAACACCAGTCAGGAGCTGCACTGCTCCATCAAAGCAACATGCCCACAACTCATCCACCACCAAAACCATGCCAAAACCACTAAAATATCCCATGCCATTGGCCTCTCGTCATCTGAGCCCCTGGCTGTGTGCAACCTGTGCAGAGCCAACACACGACCAAGAGGATTTTCTTCCTTCTCTTTGCTGTATGTCTTTTTTTTTTGTTTGTTTAAGAGCTCTGCACTGGTGCGAAAAGTAATTTTCCCCCTCCCCATCACTCGCTGTGGTGTGGCAGTGGCCACACTAATCAAGTCTCCAGTACAACCCCTGAGATGCTGCAATCAGAGGCAGCCAACAGTTTGACAGCTCGGTGTCTTCCAGTGCTCATTACAAGCTCGTTTGCAAGGATGCTGCCATCTCACCTCCTGAAAGGTCTTAGGGGATTCGAGACAGAAGCCGGGGGTTCCAACCATGTTTGCACATGTTCTCAGGCAAATTACACCTACTGGAGATGGATTTACTGTGAGGATTTGTGGGGGTGTTTGGATGTTAATTAACACCTCTGCAGACAGCACACAGTGCTGGCTTTCCACAGAGAAGCTATGTGGCTCCATGCTCCTTCCCCTATGTATCATGTACTTTGCTTGTCCCAGGTGCCACCAATCATCTTGTTTGCACATTCCATGGGTTATGCACGCTCCCTATGGGTCATGGGCACACACATTGTATTATGCACACAAACCACTTCTAAGCATGCACCCCATGGGTTATGCACACACTCCATAGACTACAGACATCCCTGACAGGTTGCGCATGCGCCCTGATGAGCTACAATACAATGAGTCAGGCATGCACCCCATGGGCAACGCACCCTCCCTGTGGCTTAAGCATGCACACTATGGATTATGTACAACACCCTCTGATCTACGTGCACGTTCTATGGGCTACGCACATCTTCTGATTGGTTATTCATGCTCCTGATAAAACCATACACACACAGGATGGATTATGCACATATCTCATAGTCTACGTGTGCATTCCATGAACTATGCATGCTCCCTATGGTTTGCACAAACTTATGATGGGTTGTGTACAGACCTCACAGGCTACACATATGCCCTGATGGGTTATCATGGTCCTCACGAACCACACATGCACTTGATGGTCTACACACACACACACCCTGTTGCCATGCATCCCATGGTCTATGTATGCATCTCATGGTCTCTACACGCACTCTGTATGCATTCTACACACACTCCAACGCCTTACATCCAACTGCTGCCACTGAGTTTGCCACCACAGTCCACCTCTTTTGCCTCCTTCCTATGCACCCCACATTCACCTCTGCAAAGTATTGCGCCTTAAAGCCAATGAGCTCTTTGCTTCCTCTAAAACAAACAAAGCCCCAAGATTATCTGCACTGCTCCACTGGGCTGCTCCAGTGCACAGAGCACAAAAGCACTGTCAGAATGATTTACAAATGCAGGAAGCACACTGGGAAAGGAGGAAAAAAAGGCAAGGAAGGCAAAAACAAAACAATACCAAACAACTGGAGGATAGGAGGATTTGGGGAGATAAAAATAAAAGCTGGGTTATTTTTTCCCCTCCCACTCTCTCCATAGCATCCCACACTGTGGTTTGCTCAGCCACCCCATGTGCTGTCCCCTCAGCGAGGGCTTGAGCATGCCTCCACGCAGTGGGATTAGGCAAATCCAGACCCAGCTTGCAGGAAAGTGGGTTAATCCAATATTACTGAATGGAAAAGGGAAGCAAAAACCTGGTGAAGATTGCACTGTGCAAAAAAGCCTCCTCCTCCCCAAATTGGAAGGGGGACAAAGCCCCAGAGCAAGTTACTAAAAAGGGGTCTGGAACAATTTTTTGTTTTGTAGTTCAGTATATTTTTGTTGATACACCTAACCACACATATTTACAGCAGGGCACAATGGGAACGCACGCAGCACACTCATGCAAGAGAATATCCATCGGCACAACAAACACTATTCTGTATTTATAAACCCTGCCAGCTGTGCAGAATAGCTTTAAGGCATAGCAGCTCATCATTTGAGGGGCAAAAACAACACAGCAGGAACAAGAAAAAACCTTCTACAGCAAGGGACAGCCCTTTCATCTGACGCCACCAGCCCCATTAGCTCCTTCTCTGCAAGCAAACCAAAGAGCTGAATCTTCACCACCTGCAACTTTCTGCTTTTTTCTGTATAAGTTAGGTTGGTTTTTTTCCACTGCAGTTGTTTCTCTGAGGCAAGGCAGAGTGCAGAAAAGCCCAGGAAAGCACCATACATGCCCAGTTTTGCACTATTTCCCATCCAACATAAAATAAATAAATAAATAAAAATCAGTAGGGCTGACCTTAATCCCAACTCAGAAATCCCAAATGGCACCCCATCCCAACTCAGAAACCCAGATGGTGCCACCTGCAACTTAAAAATCCCAAATGGTGCCAACCCCAGTTCCATATTCTTGGATAGTGCCAACCAACCCCTTGCACCCATAACCCTCACCAAAGCCAGCCTAACCCCCTCTCCCCCAAAAAAACCCCAAACAGTAAAACATACAAAAAAGAAAAAACCTTAAGATGACTGCCAACTCATTTCCCCCCCTCTCCTCCCTGCTTTAAGAGCCAGGCTACTTCCTTGTTGGCTTTGTGCAAGGACAGCAGCACAAATGACATTTCCACCATCGCAGTGGATGGCCACACTCCTCCCCATCATCCCTGACCTCACGTCACACTGCTGCCTCCATGTCCCCATCCCCAAGGGCAGAGGCTGGTGCCAGCTCACCCGGTACCAGACGATCTCCCGCATCTTTCCATCCGTCTTGAAGTTGCATTTCAGTGTCACAGCGTCACCCACCACTACAGGCGGCAGCGGCTCGATGCTGACTGTCAGGTAGGCTGCAACAGAGGGGAAAAAAGGGATGTAAGAGCTGGAAACAATGCCGAAAATTTGTTCAAGTGGTTTTGGGGGCATTCAATGGCTCTGTTCAAAGACTAGAAGTTGATTACACCTTACATATGCGGATCTTGTCATCGTATGTACCAAACGCATAAAAAAAGTACCAGGGAAAACCCTCCTAATATTATGTAGCATATATTTACCAGCACTAAAATGCAATGAAAAACCCTTTTGCTGCTTTTCTCTCTCTCTTTTACTTTGCAAAATCACCCAACTTGCCTGCAGGTACCCAAATCTCACCTGCCTCTGGAAGCTCAAAGCTGACCTGTGTACAAACCCCAATCCCAAAGACCAATCAGGATTTGAGATCCACAGTTGAAACTTGCAGCCTCGTTTCTCTTCATTTCCTCTCTCTATCGCTCTCCTCTCGGTTTGCTGCAAACCCATTGCAGGAGCACAGAGCTGGGGTCAAGAGGGCAGGGGACTACATTTCATGTTTAGTTTGCTGTACCTCCTCCAGCTGCAGATTGACAGCCCTGCAGATCTGAGCTCTTATTGAGTACCATTTGGCACTGTTCCCAAGCAGCACACCTCAAATTCCACTGCAAAAATCCATTTTGTTTTAACAGCTGCTTGCATTGGATGGAAAAGCAATGCAGAATAAATAGGAGTGGGTTTGCAAACAGCCCCGAGTGGTGGAGGAACTGAGATTCCTTTGCAGAGAAGGCAGCTGAGGCTGGCAGAGATGGGAGAAAAGGAGGGATGTAGGGGTCACACAAGTTCTTTGTGGGCATATCCCTGTTTTTGCCGCTTCACCTTTGACATTTGCAAAAGATCAGGCACAGAAATTAACAAGCACCAAATGCTTTGTGCTTGGCAGAGCTCTGCTTGCCAGTAGACGTGGGCAGCCCCCAGGCAAGATCTCATCTCCCTCCTGTCCCGGCATGGATCAAGCAGCCAATTATATAAGGCTGGCAGCAGCAGCACAAGTGACAGGTGACAGAGTTGAGATTGCATTCTCCCTTGCGCCTGCAAGTTATTAAGATACACCAGCCCCAGCCTGGCTTGAAAGCAGCCCCTGTAGTTGTTTTTTTTCTTCAGTGGGTAAACTGAGGCAAAGAGGGTGAAAATGCATTTCTGAGTGCTCTGCACTGGCTTCAGCCCCACACTTGCACATAGTAGTGCAAAGCCAGAGCACCCCCATCCAAATCCCTGTACACACATCTCTGAACTCCATCTCCCAAATGGCTTCAAAAATCCAAAATTATTGGTTTTTTGCTGTCTTCCTCTATATGTTGCAGAAGTCCCATAGCTACACCTCAACCCTTGCTCAAAACCAAGCCTCAAATCCAAAGTGGGCCACTGCAAAGTTGCTCCTTCAGGGTTGGACCAACAGCATCCAAGCATCAGAGCAGATAATTCAGGCTTGGCAGTGCTATGAGGATATCTACTTCTTACAAAGCATAACTATAAGATGTTCTGTGCTTTGCAAAACCAACTCTTACTTCGTTGTAACCTCTCAATTTCTTGCATTGGTTCTATAGGGGCCAGAACCCCCCATGCTCAACCAGCAACAGATGCCCATTTCAGAGTGAAATCTCACCAGAAGGAAAATGGTGAAAGAGGGAAAGGGCATGAAGCAAGGAGAAGCAGCTACTTGGCCCTCTGGAGGAGCCAGCCACCAAAATGCCAGATACACGGGCTGGGAAAATAAACCCAGGCACTGATAAGAAGGAAAAAAAAAAAAAGCAGAAATCCAGATGGACTCATCCAAAACTGCTGCTCTGGTGCACATCCCCACATAAATCTCCTATGCAACATCCAGCCCCTTCTCAGTGAGAGAGCGACGCTGTGATGCTGCTTCCAGCTTGGATTTGGGCTTGCTCATTCCTTTTCTCTTACACCTGCTGCTGGCAGGGAAATATTGGCTTCTGCCATGCTGGCATATCCCTGTTAGCTGCAAATGGGCTTCTTAGTGGTGCATTCATCATTGGTGGTGATGCTTATGAATCTCAGCACTCATCTCCCCTTCTTTCTTTCCAAGTGTGGAGAACTGCCACGCGTCACCATCCTCCGAGATGCACACCCCCAAACCTAATTCTGACTTCCCAGAAGGATGAGTGAGCAGAAGATGCAGAGAAGAGCTGAGTGCAGGTCTGTAGGATTTCGGGACTGTGTCAATAAAATCCCTCCAAACCACAGTTTTGCTTTCTAAGACATCACAGCCAATGCTTTGTCAGAGCAGAGAAATGCTGGAAAAATGTATTTTGCAGTCATAACTGTGGTCATTTGCTTGCTTCCCATGCTCAGCCCAACCATTAGCTAGAGGGGCTCTGCTCTGCAATTCTGCCCCCCAGAACGTGATTATGGGAAGGGTCATGTTCTCATCCTGCTGCGCTGTACCCCAGGTCTTGCAACAAGATTTCTCCTCAGCTTCCACCCAAACATTTTTGCTTTAATATGCAGGTCTCTGATGGAGGCATCTGATATTGTGCAACAGGAGGGTTTCCAAGGCCGCAGTCCCTTGCTTGGGTTCACAGGGACTCCCCCTGGGTAAATCTAATGTAAATTTGCATCGCACAGAATATTCCCCCTCCCCCCCTCCTGAATGCTTGTAAGCAAATTCCAAGGTTTGGCCTCACTTTCAAGCCTCTAGTTCATTTTTTCTTTCAATCAGATGGAAAAGCAAAAACAGAAAGGGGTGCACCAAAAAAAAAAAAAAAAAAAAAAAAAAAAAAAAACCCACAAATGGGCTAAAATAAGTATAAGGTATAAACATCACTTTAAGTCCAGAATTTGCCATGTTTTCTGAAAAATGAAGCATTGCACACTTTCCATACTCACAAGGTTGCCAGGTTTCAACACAGAACCCCACCTGTATCTTTCCCTTTCCAACTTAGAAGCAGAGCAGAACTCACCTCCTATGGAAACAGCGCAGAAAGTCCTGGTCTGGTTGTTCTTTGTGATTTTTTTTTTTTTTTTTTTTTTAATTATAGGGGAGAAGAAAACAGTAATGTCAGATACTGCTGAACCTGAAAGTCTTTTGTAACTGTTTTACAAAGGGCTGAGCACTGGATTTGTGTCTGGCCAGCCAGCACCTCTACAGCCCCAAAGCAGCTCCCAGCTCTATGCTCCTCTCCTTCCCCTCCACTCTTTTAAAATAAAACATATTTCATAGCCAAAGATGAGCCATGCCACCTTCTGATTAGATTCTGACCTATAGAAATGCAGTCCTCTGATTATATTTCATCCCTGGGGAAAAAAAAAAAAAAAGAAAAAAAAAGGTATTTTTGATAGCGAGCAGTGGGAATTCTTGCAACATTCACTTAAAAAAAATTATGAAAGGAAGGAGGCAGGAAGAGATAAGTGAAATGTCCTTTTAAATCAGGAGTGACACATTAATAAAAGCAGCACATTGTAACATGCTCGGCGCTTTCAATTACAGAACAGCTGCAAGGGAGGAGGTGCAAACACCAATGCATGCAGAAGTTGAGGGATGTTGCTGCGTTCTGGTGTGTCCCATGGTTCTCCCCCCATCGAGAAAACCCTTCACTGTGTGTCCAATTACTTTTAAACTACATCCAAGGAAAATGTGGGTTTATTGACACTAGTTGGTGCTTGTCTTCCCTGTATGCTAATCGATTCCTCAAATCTCATTGTTCCCCAAGAAGCCAATGCCAAACCAACAATGGGTTGAGACATGTCTCTGGGAATATCCCCACATTTCACCTGCCCCTTCTGTGCCTAAAGGGATGGTCATTTTGGGGTGGCAGTGCTGTTTCTGGTGCTTTGTTGGGATGGGCAGCCAAGCAGGAACACCCTCCAGGTGCCAACACAGGTGATACAAACACATCCCCACTGTAATCAGCCCACGATTAGCAGAGCTTATACGTAATTCACACCATTTCCTTCACCACCTCCTGTCCCTAGGTCCTCCAAAAGCATTCAGGAAAAGCAACCTAATGGGTGCTTTGCATCATTTTCCCCTCTTTTCCTTCCTCCTGCTCTTTCTTATTTTCCTTTGGCTCTGATGTCTCCATTCTTCCATTCAAGACTTAACCCTTCTGTGTCTTTCAGTCTTTTGTCCCCCTCCACCTCTTGCTGACTTTTAACATGAGGCCAGCCCAGCTGGCTCCTGCTCTTTCTGCCTTTTCATTTTTCTCTGCAATTTTGCCCTCCTAGGTTCCTTCTGCTGGCACACAGCAGCAAGCACAGGGAAATCCTCCAAGCGCACAAACCTTCTTTGCAAAGGGTTTGAAAGGATTTCAGGATTTTGCTGATGGAGGAAGCATGCTGCCCCTTGCAGAAGAGCCACTTGGGATGCTAAAACTATGAGGGATACGGTTAGTGCACATAATGGGGATGGGTTGATGGTTGGACTTGATGAACTTAGCAGTCTTATCTAACCTTAATGATTCTAAGAAATTGCATTCCCCAAAAGAACGGAGGAAGATGATGAGAGGCACGTGGGAGGACACCAGGGCGCAAGGTGAGGCTGAATTCTCTGTGGCCACAGGGCTGAGGAGCATTAAGCAAACGTGCTCTGACTCGTAGCACTTGGCAACATTTTGTTTATTAAAGATTAAATACCAGCAGTTGCTCCCATTCCTGCGAGCACAGCTAAATACTTTTTCCTTCTCTCCCCAGCTATATTCCCAGCTCCGGCAATGCCTTATTTATGAACTTCCCAGGCAATTTACAATTATAATGGGCTGCTGCCTCTCCTACTAATCCAGGAGGGCTACAAGGGGCAAGAAACAGCGAAGGACTCCCATCTGTCCCAACACAGTGTGGCCATATTTTGCTGAATCTGGAGCTTTTTTCCCTGGCAAGCTGCTGCACTGATTTTTTTTTTTTCCCCTCCAAAATGGAGGAAAAAAATATTTTAATACAGGTTTAACATTCACAACTGAAATCGGATGTGACAGACAGAGGCAGCGTCAGGCATCCAAAGGAGATGGTCCTTTCACAAAGGAAAAAGGTGGGGGGGAGCCCCTTT